GGTCGATGTGAGGGATGAATCCAGTTGATGGCTGGAAGGGACGATCAGAACGTGGAATGGAATGGAGGAGGTGAGGCTGGAAAGGAAGCCAAGGGATGGGTGGGAAGGTTATTTGAAATTGGAGAACTGAATGTTGAGTCCTCTGAGCTGTAGGGTGCACAGACAGAAGATAAGATGTTGTTCTTCAAATTTGTACTGGTACAAGTGTTTAGATTATATGAATTAGTCTTCATGATTTAAACCAGGGTAGCACGATGGCTCAGTGGTTCGCACTGCTGCCTCACAGTACCAAAGACCCCGGCTTGATTCCATGCTCGGGCAACTAGCCGTGTGGAGTTTGCACATTCTCCCCGAGTCTGCGTGGGTTTCTGCCGGATGCTCCAGTCGCTGTGACACTGGAGGAGGCCGAGGATGGATATGTTGGAGGTGGAGTGGGACGGGGAGTTGAAATGACCAGTGACTGGGCCATGCTTGGCGAAACGGTCACCGGGTCTACATTTGGTCTCACCGATGTGGAGAAGACCACATCAGGAGTACCGGACGCCATAGACTAGGTTGGAGGAGATGCAGGTGAAGCTCTGTCTCACTTGGAAAGGCTGTTTAGGCCCCTGGATAGAGGTGAGGGAGGTGGTGATGGGCAGGTGTTGCATCTTTTACTGTTACAGGGGAAGGTACTGGGTGGGTTGGAGTGGTTGGTGGGGAGTGTGGCGCGAACTAGGGAGTGGCGAAGGGAATGGTCCTTGCGGAAGGCTGAGAGGGGTGGAGAGTGGAAGATATTCCAGCTGGTGGGGCTTGATTGGAGTTGGTGGAAGTATTTGAGGATGATACGTTGGATGCAGCCCTAAACAGCCTTTCCAAGTGAGACAGAGCTTCACCTGCATCTCCTCCAACCTAGTCTTTTGTATCCGGCGCTGACCTAATGTAGACTTGGTGACCGTTTCGCCGAGCATCTTCGCCTGGCTTGTAATGCCCAACCTAACCTCCCGGTCACCGCCCATTTCAACACCCTGCTCCACTCCCCCTCCAACATGTCCGTCCTCGGCCTCCTCCGGTGTCGCAGCGACTTTGAAAACAAATTTGAAGGACAACACCTTATCTTCTGCCCGGGCACCCTACAGCCCAGAGGATTCAACACTGAGTTCTTCAATTTCAAATAACCTTCCCACCCGTTCCCCGGCTCCCTTTCTAGCCCCACTTCCTCCCTTCCATTCCACCTTCTGACCCTCCCTTCCAGCCACCAACCGGATGTATCCTTCCCATCGACCAACCAGGTTATACCTACTACCAGTCTCCACCTATCACCACCATTCTGCTACCAACCCTCCCCTCTCTCTTTTCTGCCGTTCTGCCTACCCCCACATCCAGTCCTGAAGAAGGGTAATACTAAAATTTTGACTGCTCCTTTCCTCCAGATGCTGCCTGGATTGTTGTGTTCTTCCAGCCTCCTGTTTGCGTACTGTTGTCCTTCCAATTGGAAGTGTGCGTTACTTTTGAAAGGTGCTGTGTAAAGATCTTTGGCGAATTTATGCAGTGCATCTTTTGGATCGTATACGCTGCAGTTACTGAGTGTCGGTGGTGGAGGAAATGGATGTTTGTAGATGTGGTGCCAATCAAGCAGGCTGCTTTGTCCTGGAGGGTGTTAAACTTCCTGAGTGTTGATGAGGCTGCACCCATTCAGGCAAATGGGGAGCATTCCGTCCAGGTGTCCCCCAACCCCATCAAATTTCTCTGTTCCAAAGAAAGTAGCTCAAGCTTACCCAGCCTCTCTTCATCGCTGAAATGCTCCATCCCAGGCAACATCCTTGAGTCTCATCTGCACCCCCTCCAGTACAATCACATCCTTCCTATTGTGTGGTGATCAGAACTGCATACAGTACTCCAGCTATGGCCTAACATGGCAGGACAGTGGCTCGGTGGTTAGCACTACTGCCTCACAGCACCAGGGACCCGGGTTTGATTCCACCCTCGGGTGACTGTCTGTGTGGAATTTGCATGCTCTCCGAGTTTACCTGGCTTTCCACCAGGTGCTCCAGTTTCCTCCCACAGTCCAAAGATGTGCAGGCTTGGTGGGTTGGCCATGCTAAATTGCCCATAGTGTTCAGGGATGGGTAGGTTAGGTGTGTCCAAATGGGAACGCAACATTACAGGGGAAAGGTGGGGGTTGGGTCTAGGTGGGATGTTCTTTGGAGGGTCAGTGTGGACTCTGGGTTGAACGGCCTGTTTCTACAGTGTGGGGATTCTATTGATTCCAATTAATGTTAAAATTGCAACATCTGCTTCCACAGTTTTCTTGGTTTAAGGCAATATCCTTTTCACATTTTGGTCCTCAATCTAAAAATAAGGAAAAGCAAAATGATATGGTTCCTACAATGTCATCAACTGAAGGAGCTCGAGCTCCTGATATCAGTAGCTAGTGCTACTGCAGTGCCTCAGTGAAGCTCAGCTTTGTTGGCAAGTTTCTGAATATGGACAATGTGCAGCTTAAAGCAGGAAAAGAGAATGGGTTGTCAAAAAGCTGTATCTCATTCTCAAAACATTATACAGTCCTGAATTTTAGTGAGAGTCAGGGATGTACTGAGGGAGTGCTACACTACCTGAGTGAATATCTTGATTATATGAGAAGTTAAATTGAAGTTTTTAAGGCAAGGCTAGATAAATTTTTGACCAGTAAAGGAATTAAGGGTTATGGTGAGTGGGTGGGTAAGTGGAGCTGAGTCTCAAAAAGAACAGCCATGATCTTATTAAATGGCAGGGCAGGCTCAAGGGGCCAGATGGCCTACTCCTGCTCCTAGTTCTTACGTTCTTATGTCTCTCTTTTAAGAAATTCGTAATAATTTTATGATCAGAATAAGTGGTCCAGATTTTTATGGAGTCAGAAAAACTCCAGAACCATTTAAAAATGGTAACAGGATCTGATTCTGAGAATCTTAACCCCATTCCTGGCATGGAGATAAGTTGTGCATAGTGAACCCACACTGCCAACCTTCATTGCAGGGACATCTCGGGGAATCCAATACATCTCATAGTGCTTTTCTCAGAAATCCAGCCAAGGAGAGAGGTTTAGAAACCTGATTAAAGCTCAAAATCAAGTACCACACAGTGACATGAAAACCTTGAACACTTTCCTCTCAAATGTTATGGATGCTGGGATTACTTAAAAATTTCTGTACTGTGAGTGATGTTTGCTTTGGTTAAGGATATCAGGTAAATGTAGTTCAGCTACAGATGAGCCATGTGTTGTGGAACAAGCTCAAGGATTAAATGGCTTTTTCCAGCTCCAAAGAAATGCTCCGAGCTGGCGTGGTATATGATAATGCTTGTCCGCTGCTACTCTCTCCCTGCCCTTTCTGGTTGTTTGAATCTCAGAGCAATGTACCTTTTTTTTTAATTGGTTCATGAAATATGGGAAACACAGGCTAGATTGGTACTTATTGTCCATCCCTACTCGCCCTGGAGTAGATAGTGGTGAGCTGATGCTTGGAGCTGTTGCAGCCTCTGGGTATTCCCACAGTACCTGGTAGGGAGGGTGTTCTAGGATTTTGGATCAACAACAGTGAAAGAAAAGCAATGTAATTCCAAGTGAGGATTGTGTATGGTTTGGAGATCAGTTTGCAGATGATATGTTCCCAAGCATCTGCTGCCTTTCCTTCCAGTTGGTAGAAGTTGGTGGACTTGGATGACGATATCGAAGAAGTCTTGGAGAGTTGCTGCAGTGCGTCTTGTAGGTGGTGCACCCTGCTGCAACTGTGCGTTGGTGCCGAAGAGATTGCACAATTAAGTTGTGGAGAAGTGTTATTAATGCTGGAACGTTAATCCAGAGACCCAGGTAATGTTCTGGGGACTTTGATTTGAATCCCGGTATAGCAGATGGTGGAATTTGAATTCAGTCATAATCTGGAATTAAGAATCTAATGATAACCATGAATCCGTTGCTGATTGTCGGAAAAAGAAACATCTGGTTCATTAATGACCTTTAGGGAAGGAAACTGCCATCCTTACCTGACCTGGCCTACATGTGACTCCAGACCCACAGCAATGTGGTTAGCTCTTAATTGCCCTCTGGGTGGGCAATAAATGCTGGCCTGACCAGTGATGCCCACATCCCGTGAATGAATTTTAAAAAAAGTTGATGAATGAGGTGCTTTCTCCTAATGGTTTCAAGCTTCCTGAGTGTTGCTGGAGCTGCTCTTTGAACGCAAGTGCAAGTGCGTGCTACTGGCTGGTGTTAATTAAGAGCTCACTCAATTCACTGCATCAGGAATGCATCCTGATTGAGGCATGCTCCAACATCTAGGCTTGGATTTCTCATTTCAGTGGGGCTGCCTGGAGTGGGATCCAAACTCATTACCCTATCTTTCAGAGATGGGAATGCCATAATGAGTTAATGTTCACTCTAAGGGATCTAGGTAGTGACCTGTAAAACTACCGTCACTCTTGACAGGATACACAAAACATAACTAGTTACGTGGTTAGGTCATCTGCCCTCAGTGGTCTATAATATCTTGTAGGTCTGTCTGTCTTCTGATCTCACTCAATGGACCTGCAGTCAGAGCACCTCTGAGTGTTCTTCACTCTACTGCCTCCCAACCTTTAAAACATTTTACACAGAAAAATTGGTTCTCTAGGCAGGAGGGCCAGTTACTGGAGGACATGGATTTATCATTGATTAAAGATCCTGTGGGGAAATGTCAAGACTTTTTTAAGCTACAGTAAGTTTGTATGACCTGGGGTGGATTTGCTGATAAGTTGGTGGAAGCAGAATCAGGACTGGCTTTCCATAACAAAATTTAAGAAAAAAAAATTGAAAAGCAAAGGGAAATGAGTAGAAGGGCGAAATCCATTAGATTGATCTTTTGAAGAGCTGGTACAAATATCATGGTCTCCCTCTGGAGTTTATAATTCTGTGATTTGCATATTACATAATTGTTGAACGTGGTATCTTATGCTTATTTACAAAACATAACAGTCCTTTATTGTTTTCTGTTGTTTTGCTGTTATAGAAAAATGGACACCCGTCACCTGCATCTATTTATGCCTGCTACCATGGGATTCATAGCTGCAATTACATCTATTGTGTACTATCATAATATTGAGACTTCCAACTTTCCAAAGTTATTATTAGGTGAGAGTACATTTCCAATTTCAGGTGAACCAAAGCCATCCATGATTTACAATTCCCTTCATATGTCATCATTAAATTCAGAGCGCTCTTGTTGGGAAAAGTAAAAATAACTTGACGATTGATGATAAACAGACTCACTGGGTCTGCGTGGGAATTTCTCGGAATATGGTCAGGACCTACACAGGCATAGACCTTTAGCTGAAGGTTTCCTGATTGCTATTGTAAAGTCTAGTGTCTCCACCTGTACCTATCCAAGGCAAACTGTAGATGAAGGGACTACGGTCAAAGGTGGGGAATCCCTATGGTCTTTCTAGGCCATTAGGTACCAGGTGTAACACCAAAGTCTTGAGAAATAAAGCAACTTGGATCCTCAGGGTTGGGAAAATTAAAGTTAAAATTGTATTGGTCCCCTACGACAAAAGTTCAAAGGGTAATCTCTGGGGAATATGGGTACTCCCCTTATGCTAACATTCCTTGACAACATGAGACTGATGTGCCCCAGTTGGCATGGGTGCCTGTCTTTTAGAGAGTCCGATCCCCTTTTTTCAGTGCCTGGGTCCCACACACTTAGGTGTGGGGATTCGGAGTTGGTGAGGGTGAATCTTGTGGCTTTAGTGTTTATTAAAACGCAAGTGGTCGTGGATGGTTTACGAGACAGGACAAACATCAGCAATTCTTGGGAGACCCGATGACTTCAAAAATCCAAAACAAAAATTCTTCTGCGATGGTAAAGTGAAGCTTGATACGAAGATTAAATTTCATGCCCAAATATGTTCCCAAAGATATTTTGATATGTTAGGGACAGATTATGGACCCCAAATTTCCTTCATTTCACTGTTGGTGACCATGTCTCTGCAAATTTTGCAATTTCCTTCTCTAAACTTTGTAGCCTCTCCAACCCTCTCTCTCTTTTTAAGATGATTTTTAAAAATGCCTTCTTTGACCTAGCTCTCTTATATACATCCTTGTGTAGCTTACTGTCAAGCTTTGTTTACTCTGTGAAGCGCCTTTACTGATTTTACAATGTTAAATTTAACTGCAAAAATCCAAGATCATCTTGTTGATTAAATATATTTGTTTTCACAGCTCTTTTTATATACTGGGTCCTGGCTTTTATCACAAAAACTATTAAACTGGTGAAGTACTGTGATCACGGAGTGAACATGACCCAGCTGCGATTTTGTATCACACTTATGTTGGTTTTTCTTTATGGCTCACTGATGGCTATTGAAGTAAATGTGATCATATTCCGGGTAAGTAGTGCCAATTCTGTCTTGGAAACAAGTGAGATTCCCAATGGTTATTTTCACAAAAATAAGGAGGAAAGCTTGGCCCCGCAAATCTGGAAAATCTTGCTGCCCATCACAAACTGTTAGTTTGAAGTCTGCAGAGTTCACACAGGCCACATTAAAACAAAAATGACAGTGATGCACAGGGTAGAAAGCATCCATGCTTCGAAAGCAAATGGCTTAAGATGGCAAATAGACACAGGCAGAGACCTGGTCAAGCTGGTGTCAGGATTCTTGAATATTTTTGCAACTACATTCACAAAAACATAAGAACTAGGAGCAGGAGTAGGCCATCTGGCCCATCGAGCCTGCTCCGCCATTCCATAAGATCATGGCTGATCTTTTCTTGGACTCAGCTCCATTTACCCTCCTGCCCACCATGACCCTTCATTCCTTTATTGTTCAAAAATCTATGTATCTCTGCCTTAAAAACATTCAATAAGGTACCCTCAACTGCTTCACTGGGCAGGGAATTCCACAAATTCATAACCTTTTTGGGTGAAGAAGCTCCTCCTCAACTCAGTACTAAATCTGCCCCCCCCGCTCCCTTATTTTGAGGCTATTCCCCTACTTCTAGTTTCATCTGCCAGTAGAAACAACCTCCCTGCTTCTATATTATCTATTCCCTTCATAATTTTATATGTTTCTATAAGATCCCCCCTCATTCTTCTAAATTCCAATGAGTATGGTCCCAGTCTACTCAATCTCTCCTGATAAGCCAACCCTCTCAACTCCAGAATCAACCTAGTGAACCTCCTCTGCACTCCCTCCAATGCCAGTACATCCTTTCTCGAGTATGGAGACCAAACTGTACACGGTACTTTAGGTGTAGCCAATACAGCGGCAGCATAACCTCCCTGTTTTTAAACTCCATCCCTCTAGCAATGGAGGACAGTATTCCCATTTGTCTTAATTACCTGCAAACCAATGTTTTGTGATTCATGCACGAGGACACCCAGGTCCCTCTGCATAGCAGCATGCTGCAGTTTTTCACTATTTAAATAATAATCCATTTTACTGTTATTACTACCAAAATGGATGATCTCACATTGATCAACATTGTAATCTATCTGCCAGACCCTTGACCACTCACTTAACCTATCAATATCCCTACGCAAACTTTCAGTGACCTCTGCACACTTTTCTCGATCACTCACTTCAGCGTCATCTGCAAACTTTGACATTCAACACTTGGTTCCCAATGCCATATCATCTACGTAAATAGTAAACAATTGCGGTCCCAACACTGACCCCTGAGGCATACCGGGTAAGTTTTTTTTGTATTCCCTCAAAGGATGTAGGTATTGCTGGCGGGGCCAGCATTTATTGCCTATGGTTGCTTGCCCTTGAAAAGGTGGTTTTAAGTTATCATCTTGAACTGTTGCGGTCCATGTGCTGTAGATAGATCCACAATGCTACTGGGGAGAGAGTTCCAGGATTTTGACCCAGCAACAGTGAAGGAGCAGTGATACATTTCCATGTCAAGATGGTGAGACATGGAGCAAAAATTGCACGTGATGGTAATTTCATGGATCTGCTGCCCTTGTACTTGTAGATGAAAGTGTTGTGGGTTTGGAAGATCCTGTCTAAGGATTTTTGGTGAATTTCTGCAGTGCATCTTGTAGATAGTACACACTGCTGCTACTGAGCGTTTGTGGTGTAGAGAGTGGATGCTTGTAGATGTGGTGCCAATCAAGTGGGCTGCTTTGTTCTGGATGATGTCAAGCTTCTTGAGTGTTGTTGGGGCTGCACTCATTCAGGCAAGTGGGGAGTATTCCATCACACTCCTGAGTGTGCCTTGGGGTTGGCAGACAGGCTTTGGGGAGTCAGGAGGTGAATTACTTGATGTAAGATTCCAAGCTTCTAACCTGATCCTGTAGCTAATTTATTTCTATGGCTAGTCTAGTTCAGTCAATAGCAAGAAATGAAGTAAGGTCAGATGATGTAAAATCTGTGTGGGTAGAGTTGAGGAACTGCAAAGGTGAAAAAAAATAATAGTGGGAGTTATGTACCGGCCTCCAAACAGTAGTCAGGATTTGGGGCACAAGATACACTAAGAGATAGAAAAGGCATGTAAGAAAGGTAAGGTTGCAGTGATAGGGGATTTTGATATGCAGGTAGACTCGGAAAATCAGGTGGGTAGTGGATCACAAGACAAGGAATTTGTAGAATGTCTACGAGATGGCGTTTTGGACCAGTTTGCGGTGGAGCCCACTAGGGAATAGGCAATTCTGGATTTAGTGTTGTGCAATGAGGCAGACTTGAAAAGGGACCTTAAGGTGAAGGAACCCTTAGGAGGCAGTGACCATAATATGATAGAATTTACTCTGCAATTTGAGAGGGAGAGGGTGGAATCAGATGTAATGGTATTACAGTTGAATAAAGGCAACTATAGAGGCAAGAGGGATGAGCTGACCAGAATTGACTGGGAGAGGAGCCTAGCAGGAAAGACAGTGGAACAGCAATGGCAGGAGTTTCTGGGAGTAATTTGGGTGACACAGCAAAAATTCGTCCCTAGGAAAAAGAAGCATACTAAAGGGAGGATGAGGCAACCATGGCTGATTAGGGAAGTCATGGACAGCATAAAAGCAAAAGAGAAAGCAAATAATGTGGTGAAGGGTAGCGGGAAGCCAGAGGATTGAGAAGCTTACAAAGACTAACAGAGTAGGGAGAAGATTAACTATGAGAGTAAGCTAACCAGTAATATAAAAAAGATTGCAAGAGTTTCTTTAGATATATAAAGGACCAAAGAGAGGCAAAAGTGGACAATGGGCAGCTGGAAAATGATGCTGGAGAAGTAGTAATGGGAACCCAAGAAATGGCTGAGGAACTGAATAAGAACTTTGCGTCAGTCTTCATGGTGGAAGACATGAGTAATATCCCAAACATTCAAAAGTGTCAGGGGGCAGAAGTGAGTATGGTGGCCATCACCAAGGTGAAGGTGCTAGAAAAACTGAAAGGTCTGAAGGTGGATAAATCACCTGGACCAGATGGGCTACACCCCAGATTCTGAAGAAGATAGCTGAAGAGATAGTGGAGGCATTAGTGGTGGTCTTTCAGGAATCACTGCAGTCAGGGAGAGTCCCAGAGGACTGGAAAATTGCTACTGTAACCCCCCCTTTGGGAAGGGAGTAAGGCAAAATACGCAAAATTATAGGCCGATTAGCCTGGCCTCAGTCATTGGTAAGTCCATTGTGACTGATGAGATCTCTGAATACTTGGAAGTGCGTGGTAAAATAGGGCAAAGTCAGCATGGTTTCATCAAGGGGAGGTCATGCCTGATGAATCTGTTAGAATTCTTTGAGGACGTAACATGCAGGTTAGACCAAGGAGAGCCAATGGTTGTTATCTACCTGGGCTTCCAGAAGGCTATTGACAAGGTGTCGCACAGGAGGCTTCTGAGTAAGATATGGCCTCATGGTGTTAGAAGCAAGGTGGATAGAAGATTGGCTGTCTGGCAGGAAGCAGAGATTGGGGATAAAAGGGTCTTTCTCAAGATGGAAGCCAGTGGCTAGTGGTGTTCCACAAGGGTCAGTGTTGGGACCACAACTTTTCACTTTATACATTAGTGATCTAAATGAAGGAACTGAGAGCATTCTGGCCAAGTTTACAGATGAAACAAAAATAGGTGGAGGGACAGGTAGCATTGAGGATGTGGGAGACTGCAGAAGGATTTAGACAGATTAGGAGAGTGGGCAAAGAAGCAGTAGATGGAATACAACGTGGGAAAGTTTGGGGCCATGCACTTTGGTAAGAAGAATAGAGGCATGGACTATTTTTTAAAATGGGGAGAAAATTCAGAAATCTGAACTGCAAAGGGATTTGGGAGCCCTAGTCCAGGATTCTCTTAAGGTAAACTTGCAGGTTGACTCGGTAGTTAGGAAGGCAAATACAAGGTTGGCATTTATCTCGAGAGGGCTAGAAAATAAAAGCAGTGATGTACTTCTAAGGCCTTATAAAGCTGTGGTCAGATCACATTTAGAATATTGTGAGCAATTTGGGTCCCATACCTCAGGAAGGATGTACTGGCCCTGGAACAGGTCCAGACGAGGTTCATGAGACCGATCCCAGGAATGAAAAGCTTAACATATAAGGAATGCTTGAGGACTCTCAGTCTACACTCGATGGACTTTAGAACGATGAGGGAGGATCTAATTGAAGCTTACAGAATACTGAACAGCCTGGACAGAGTGGATGTTGGGAAGGTGTTTCCATTGTCAGGAGAGACTAGGACCCGAGGACACAGCCTTAGAGTAAAAGAAAGACCCTTTAGAATGGAGATAAGGAGAAACTTCTTCAGCCAGAGGGTGGTGAATCTATGGAATTCATTGCCACAGAAGGCTGTGGAGGCCAGGTCATTGAGTATGTTTAAGACAAAGATAGATAGGTTCATGATTGTCAAGGGGATCAAAGGTTATGGGGAGAAAGTGGGAGAATGGGGTTGAGAAGCTTATCAGTCATGATTGATTGGCGGAGTGGACTCAATGGGCGGAGTGGACTCAATGGGCGGAGTGGTCTAATTCCTGCTCCTATGCCTTTTGGTATTATGGTCTAATTTCTGGTCAATGGTAAAAGCAGGATGTTGATAGTGTGGAATTCACTGATGATGATTAGATTCTCACTTGTGGAATTGGAAAACATTCCGTCACACCCATGCTTTATTCTTGTAGGGGATGGAGAGAACTGGGGAATAAGGACACGAGGCTCTTGCAGAGGAATACCAAAGCACTGTTGCTAGCTACTGGAGCATTTCCCAGTTACATAATCCCTAACCCAGGAAAGACACTGGCTTCTTGGTCGGATTTTCTCCTTGGGGTCAGAGGGGTCAGGCACTCTGGGAGGTGGACTGTGTGACCCAGGAATGAGAGCAGATGCTATCAGGTGTAGCGGTGGGTCATGTGGAAGACCTGCCTTGGTGCACCAGCACTTTTGCCAAAGTTATTTTTAAAATTACTAAAACAAGAAAAATCCCTCAAGTCCTTACCCCTAGCACCCCACATACTCCCTAAGCCCCAGTCATGCCAGCCCATGCTACCACACACCTCCCACCCATAATCCCTTGTACTCTCCATGGCTCGGTATGCCAACCTCCATGGCACTTCATACCCCAGACACCACCATATGCCCTTCAATCATCACCATTGTCTCTTATGATCCCTATGCCAGCCTACTCCTCTTTACTCACCCCCATGTCCACTCATATCTCTTACACCAACCTATGTATTCCACCCATCACCCTTAGTCCTTTCCAGTTCAGAGCCATGCTGAGATAAAATGAAGTCGTATGTCTTTGATGTCACAATTTCAAACAGACTTCTTCACTAATTTGTAAAAAATCAACATGTTGAAATTCCTTCGACTAATTTCAAACGAAAGCAAACATTTCAGTTAAGTTTTTAATGTTTTATGAAAACAGATATTTCTAATATAAAGCAACTTAGAGCTGTCAATCAAACACTCCCGTTAACAGCCACCCAACTATGACAAGGTTAGATTGTAAAATCAGTCACACAGCTCAAATCCTAGAATTTCAAGCGTAAACAGACTGATGAAGAAGCAAGGGTGATTCTTTTTAAACTCCACATTGTTGAACAATTTAAAGCCCAGTACAGCTAAATCCCATGACAGCTTTGATAGTTCCAAAGAAATTTGACAATTCCAGGATCATGGGGCGGCACAGTGGCTCAGTGGTTAGCACTGCAGCCTCAACACCAGGGACCCAGGTTCAATTCCACCCTTGGACAACTGTCTGTGTGGAGTTTGCACATTCTTCCCGTGTCTGCATGGGTTTGCTCCAGTTTCCTCCCACAGTCCAAAGATGTACAGGCTAGGTGGATTGGCCATGCTAAATTGCCCATAGTCCTCAGGGAGGTGTGGGTTATAGGGGGATGAGTCTGGATGGGATACTCTGAGGTTCAGTGTGGACTTGTTGGGCCAAAGGGTCTGTTTCCACACTGTAGGGATTCTATGATCACACCTACTTTGCACAATCCCAATGTGTACCCAACTTCTCCAAAAGGACTATATTGAAAAGGGAAAATAAGGTCTCCAAAAGGGTCCTCTGGCTAATCAAATGAATCCATAAAGTGCACATTTTGGGTTTCGGGCATTCACCTGACCAAAATGACTAGAAGTATTCTAGAACCTGCTCCACTTCTCCCTCTCCCATAAAAGTTAGAGGTCAAACTTGGGGGTGGGGACTTCTGGATTTTGGTCTTTGCTAATATAATCCTGCAAATATTCAGGCCTAAGTTTCAATCTTAGAACATTTCTGGTCTGCACATGGAACTAGGTGGAAAGCAGACCTAATGCATACCCATCAGGAAGCATTGATCAAGTTTAGATTCCTTTCTCTAGAAAAGAGAAGATTGAGGTCTGACCTGATTTAGGTCCTTGGATGATGAAATAGTTGAACAGGATAAACATAGATGTTTTTACTTATGGGGTGTCCAAAGATAAGGTTCATAAATGTACTAATATTATTCACCAATTCAAAGAGAATTCAGGAGAAATCCTTTTATCCAAAGAATGTTGAGAATGGGAAACTTACTACTACAACAACTTGAGGCAAATAGCACAGATGCATTTGAGTGGAAACTTTACTAACACATAATGGAACAAGGAAATAATTTATCGTAATAGGGTTAGATGTAGAGGGTTAGGAGGCTTGTGTAGAGCATAAACTACAAGGAGAGACCCATTGGATCGAATGGCCTGTCTGTGCTGTATACCTCCGTACTCCATAAAATTCTTTCATTCTAAAACCAACAAGACATTTGTTTAAACAGTTTCCTTTTCACTTTTGCCAGAAATATGTGTTCTTTGCAAACCCCAAAAAAGTTAAACCACCTGAAGACTTGCAAGACCTGGGTGTGAGATTCCTGCAGCCATTTGTAAATTTACTGTCAAAAGCAACGTACTGGTGGATGAACACACTCATCATTTCAGCCCACAAGAGGCCAATAGACCTAAAAACCATTGGCAAGCTCCCCATAGCCACAAGGGCTCTCACCAACTACATGCGTCTGAAAGACGCTTATGAAGAGCAGAAGGTAAGAGACTCATCTGAACGTATGGATGTCTCATCCTGCTGGCTGTGACACCAATTGATAGCTTCCCTTATTCTGTCTGAATGGATGATTATAAACCTCCTCACCAACTTCTTCATGTATTTAGAACTACTTATGTTTAGTTAGCATGGCAAATCTTGCGGCTTTAAATCACTTTGGAAGTGCCTTGCAATTAATACTCGTTAACACATCAGAATTATGGATGTGAAATATGAGAAGTGCTTCCTTTCCAAAATCTTTTGCTTGGCAAAGATTAATATTTTTCCCTTGGGAATTTAACTTGTACTACATACAGAATTTTTAAGTGATTTTGTGGAAAATCATTACATGTCATTGTTTTCAGTCAACATATTGGTTGGTAGAACAATAAGTACTGCCATGATTTCTGTTATTCTGACACTTGCATCTTGGGGTTCTATCCTGCACATTGGACAGTTGGCAATCTTTGTCCCTTCTGGTAGTTCGAGAATTGCAAGGGTTTCTTTTTACATGGCTGCTATCTGACTCTGGCAAACTTTTTTATTTACACCATTTTACCTAGTCCTGTTCTCTGTAAGTACGTCTCTACGGACTACAGACTATTCCATCGTCTTTACCACATGACTGCTGATGGTACCAAGATGTCATGAAAAGTATCATTGTCATATCCATTCTCATTATACTACACATATTAAAAACGTAGGGTATCTTCACTCTTATTGTAGCATATTGACACTCTGCCGCACAGATATCTGACAATCAGTCATCCATCACTGTGGAGTACTAGTACCCCAGTTCCCAGGACATCAACAATCCCACACTGCAGGCTATCAGCAGCAGATATATTGACATCTATGTCAATATGTATATAGTAACATGTATGCAAACATATGAATTCGGAATAGCATTCAACCATTCAGCTCCTCGAGCCCGCTGCCCCGTTCAATAAGATCATGGCTGATCTGATTCTAAGGTCAAATCCACATTCCAGTCTAACCCTGATAGCCTTTTTACCCCTTTGCTTAACAAGAATACATTTGCCTCTGTCTTCAATATTCAAGCATTCAAGAACTCTATTTCCACCATTCCCTGCCCACCCTGCCAGCCTCTTCAAGGAGAGAATTCTAAAAACTGATAACCCTCCAGAGATTTACTCTTTGCCTAATCTCTGTTTTATATTATTTTTAAATAGTGAGACCTAAATTTAGATTCTACCATAAGAGGAAATATCCTCTCCTCATCTACTCTGTCAAAGACCCCTCAGGATCAATGATCAATCAAGTCATCTCTTATTCTTCTAAGCTCCTTTGGATCCAAGCCTAGCCTGTCCAACATTTTGAAATACTTAAGCACTCTCATTCCAGGTATTAATCTGGTAAACTTCTCTGAACTGCCTTCCACACATTTACATTCTTCCTTAAATAAGGTGACCAATACTATGCACAGTGGTCCAGATGTCGTCTCACCAGTACCTTGTATAACTGGAGATGCTACATTTTGGTAAAGCAAATCAGGGCAGAACATGTACAGGTAATGGTAGGGCCCTGGGCAGTGTTGCTGAACAAACAGACTTAGGGATGCAGGTGTATTGTTCCTTAAAAGTAGAGTTGCTGGTAGACAATGGTGAAGGAGGCATTTGGCACAGTTTTGCCTTTTGCCTGTTTTGATCAATGCATTGAATATAGGAGTTGGGACATGATGTTACAGCTGTATAGGACATTGGTGAGGCCACTTCTGGAAGTCTGCATTCAATTCTGGTCTCCCTGCTATAGGAAGAATGTTGTTAAAGTTGAAAGCGTGCAGAGAAGGTTTACAAGGACGTTGCTGGGATTGGAGGGTTTGAACTACAGGGAGAGGCTGAATAGGCTCTTGTTTTTTTTCACTGGACCATTGGAGGCTGAGGGGTGACCATATTGAAGTTTATAAAATCATGAGGAGCATGCATAGGCTGAATAGCCAAAATGTTTTTCCTAGGGTGGGGGAGTCCAAAACTAGAGGGCATAGGTTTAAGGTGAAAGGGGAAAGATTTAAAAGGACCTGAGGGGCATCTTTTTCATGCAGAGGGTGGTGCATGTATGGAATGAGCTGCCAAAGGAAGTCGTGGAGGCTGGTACAATTACAATATTTAATAGGTGTGGGGATGGGTATATGAATAAGAAGGGTTTAGAGGGATATGTGCCAAATGCTGGCAAACGGGACTAGATCAGTTTAGGATTTCTGGTTGGCATGGATGAGTTGGACCAAAGGATCTATTCCTGTGCTGTATAATTCTATGACTATGAATCATACACTCCCTGCATTTGTATTCAATTCCCCATGTAATAAATGATAACATTTGATTACTTTCATAATTATTTGCTGTACCTCCGCACTAACCTTTAATGATTTATGCACAAGGACATCCAGATCCCTATGGATCTCAGTGCTCTAATCTCTATCCATTTAGATAATATGCTTTTTTCTTTTCTTCTTCCAAAATGAACAATATCACTTCTTTTTCCACATTGTACTCTATTTTCCATATCTTTGCCCACCCACTTAACCTGTTATCTATCCTTTTGTAACCTCTTTATGTCTTCTTCACAACTTACCTTTGTGTTTTCAGGGAATTTGGGCAAGTATATCTTCTATTTCTTCCTCCAAGTTACTTACGTAAGTTGTTAACGGTTGAGGTTCCAGCATTGATACCTATTTTGTATCTTGCCAACTTATAATAGACTCATTAAATCTTCTGTCTGTGGCTATATGCTATGCTGTACACCATAAGCTTTTAGTTTCTGCCAAAACCTTTAACATGGAACCTTATCAAATGCCTTTTAAAAATCTAAGTACAGTACATCCACTGGTTTCTCTTTATTCACAACAAGTTACCTCCTCAAAGAACTGTAGACAAATCAAACATGATTTTTCTTTCACCAGACAGTATTGACTCTTCTGATTACCTTGAACCTATCCAAGTGACCAGTTATAACTTTCTTAATTGTAGATTCTACCATTTTCCTGATAACGGATTTAAAACTAATTGCCCTCTAGTTTCCTGCTTTCTGCTTTCTTCCATGTTTCAACAAATGAGTTACATACGTTATCTTCCAATCTCATAGCATTTTCACAAATTAAGGGACTTTTTAAAAATTGAAATTGTATATCAACTATCTTATTTCTTTTAAGACCCTGAGATAAAGTCCATCAGGACCCAGACATTTGTCAGCCTACAGCTCCAACAATTTATTCAGTACTACTTCTCTGGTGATTATGATTTTCCTGAACTCCTCTCTCCCTTCCATTTCCTGATTTATTGATGCTTCTGGGATGTTACTTGATTCCTCTATAGAGAAGACTGATGTAAAACACCTGCTCAATTTATCTACCATTGCCTTATTTACCATTATTATTTGCCCATTCATAGTTTATGTAGGACAAACTTATAGAAGCTCTTACTATCTATTTTAATGTTTTTGGCTAGCTTTCTCTCATACTCTAATTTTTTCCCCTCTTTATTAATTTTTTTGTCATTATTTGCTACTTTCAAATTCTGTCCAATTTTTTTGACCTGTGTTTGCAGGATTATTTGCTTTTCCTTTAAGTTTGATGCAATTCTCAACATTTCTCATTAATCATGGATAGTAGGTATTTTCTCACTCATTGGAATGTATCTGTGTATTTTGAAATATCCTCTTAAATGTTTGCCTCTGCATCTGTATTGAAATATGCTGTAGCTAAATTCACTTCAGCCAGCTCTGCTTTCATGTCCTCATAAAAAAAATCTTAAATCGACTCTTGACCCATTCAAACTCAATGTAATGTTCAATCAAATTATGCTACTTGCTACCTGCCTTCACCATGATTTAATCCTACCTCATTGTAAAATACCAGGTCTAGTATAGCCTGCTCTCTACCCAGCTCTTAAGCATACTGTTCTAAGACACTATCCTGAAGACTTTCTGTGAACTCCTCGATAAAAACCGAAAGAACTGCGGATGCTGTAAATCAGAAACATAAACAGAAATTGCTGGAAAAGTTCAGCAGGTCTGGCAGCATCTGTGAAGAGAAATCAGATGTAATGTTTCAGATCCGGTGACCCTTCCTTAGAACTGAACTCCTCATCTAGGCTACATTTGTACATTTGACCTTTCCACTTTATATGTAGATTAATATCTCCCATGATTATCTCCATGCCTTTCTGACAAGCTTTTGTTATTTTTTCTTTGTGCTCCATCTTACAGTAAGGGACCTACACCACTCCTATCAATGATTTCCAGCCTTCATTTCTTATTTCTACCCAAGCTGATTCCACACCTCGGTTATCTGAATTTAAATCTCTCCTTTCTATTGTGCTTATATCATCATTAACTAACAGAGCCATATTTTCCTAGTTTCGTAAGTACCCTGCAGCTTCAACATTCATCTCTCAATCCACAGCATTCTACAATGATATGTCTGTTCTATTGGAAATTCCTAAGGGTTTCAAAAGATTTATGCAGATTGAGAGTAACACTTGGGTCCAGACTTTTGTCAAATTTTAAAAATCATTTTTACACAGATCTGGAACAGTCCAGCAACAGCAGTAAAGACTAAAGCCTGAATTTTTTTTTGAAACATTTAGATATTAAAGTGGGAGCATTTGAGGATCTCCTTGGATGGACTATGAGAAAGACTGGCCTTTCTCAACATTTGGTTGATTTCCGATCTAGTGAAGTAAACTGATAATGCTACATGCTAATCTCTTTGCAGAGTGCACTCCACCATGGGATATTTTAACTTATTTTCCATTCCTCAATTCATCTTCATTTTTAGAAGTTACTGACCCTCAGGACTATTTCACGAGGAAACAAAATGATTGGAAATTAATAAGAAATTAATACTTGCAAACTGTTAATTGACTACTTGTTTCTGCCCCTGTCTCTGCTTTTAAAATGTTGGTTTCTTCCATTATGCACAGTTTGATTTAACCTCTTGTTTTTTTTCACTGCAGAAAAATGCACACTTCCCAGGCGAACAGCCTCCGTCGATCTGGCATTCCATGTACAGGGCTTACGGTCGACCAATCTTTCTTAGCAGCACTTTCCGTTACTTGGCCGACCTTCTAGGTTTTGCTGGCCCCCTCTGCATCTTTAAGATTGTCGACCACCTTAGCAAGACAAGCAAATCAAGTAACAATGTGAGTTTGTGATTTCATACATTTCTTTGTTTCTGTGCTCAGCTTTTACTGACGTGTTCTCGTGTTTAGCAGTCTAAGTAGTAATTTTTATTCATCTCTATGGCGAGAACTGTAACTCATTTCGATTTGCATGTATTTGTTGCATTCTTTATTAGTGGTTCGCAGTTCGCAAACTATCTAAGCACGGGTCTCATTAAAGCTAGCCAAGAAGGAAATGAAAATTGCAAATTTCTAAGGTGGTATGGTGCTCAGTGGTTAGCATTACTGCCTCATAGCACCAGGGACCTAGGTTCAATTCCACTCTTGGATAATTGTCTGTTTGGAGTTTGTACATTCTCCTTGTGTCTGCGTGGGTTTCTTCTGGGTGCTCCAGTTTCTTCCCACAGTTCAAAGATATGCAGATTAGGTGGATTGGCCATAATGTCCAGGAATGTATAGGTTAGTTGGATTAGCTATGGGAAATGTGGTGCAGGTTTGAGTGGGATGCCCTTCAGAGGGTTGGTGTGGGCTGAATGGCCTGCTTCTACACCATAGGGATTCTATGAAATGATGAAATCACTTTAATATTTACAGAGAGTAAAGATCAACACAAACATGTGCATTTAAGATGGAAGATGAACTGTCACAAACAATTTTGTTTTAAAAGATAATCTAGTTTAACCATCCACTAGTTAATTAGAATGAGGACAATAATGTAAATAATGTTACACAAATGTAAAACTATTTTTTTTGATTAGATCAGTTGTTCGGTAACAGTTATTGCTCAGATTGGGTTAAAACCCCTGTTACATCCACAGTGAAAAATGCTTACTGTTTTTATGCATTTTTTAAACAGTGATCTGAGAGAGGAGAAAGGAAAATTAGCTGCAGATCAGGTGATTCCAAAACGTTCTGCCTCTGATTTGGATGGTAGGCTAGTGGGGAGGTGCAGGAGGAGTGTTGTCCAAAATTTCTGATGGTTTCTGGCAAATAATTACTACAATCTGACCACAACTTGAGCTTAATGTGGAAATCGTGAAGTTGACACCGTGGTTGACTGAATGCAGCAAAGGGATGTAGCAAGTTCACTCATTCAGATTTATGCTCAAATGGAACTGAGTCTGTAACTTTCAGTTAAATTTTGCTAGACCTTCCAATCTTGGATACTGGAGATAAAGAGATATAAAGAGTGGGGCTGTGCTGTTCAGTGCCAATTTGCTGTATTTATTTTGATTCATTTGTTGAGGAACCTGGAGCCCTTTGGAAGGACAGAGATCATTCACCCTACTTCTAGCTTCCTATGTGAGCATTTCCAAGGCTGCATCAGGGAACCCAGTGGCTCTGAATGGAATTATGCCATCCACTGGTTCAGCAATGAAGTCTGCTATGAACTGCTGGAAAATGCACCATAGCGTTAAGGCATTGCAGCAAGCCTTTAAGTAGTGGCTGCCACTTCACTGTGGATTCTTCTGTATTCAGCTAATCAGTGAGCTGCCTATTAAGGGCATGATTAACTCGGAGCTCACTGACTTGTTTTAACTGAGGCCAACAGTGAAAGTTGATCCTGGCTAAAACATGTCCTTAAAGCAAGTCACTCCCAGAACATTGGGCTGAAATCTTCAGAGTTCCACTTTCTCAGGGTAAGACATTAACTGCAAGAAAGATCAAGTTATTGTAATACTAAGTGGTCTGTGTATCACAAACTTTTCCAAAAGACTCTGTGATGATGCTGCAATTGCATAGTGGGCACTTCCTAAGGTCTGCGTCAACAATGGCACAAAAACAATGGGAGGCGAAGAGTCTATCTCAAAAAAGCATTTTTCCTTCGATAGTTGGCTTCCATTTGTAGTCCCTCTGCTGTCACATTTCAAATATTTGTTAAGGAGTTGCATTAGAAAAGTACACCTGAAAGAATGATTTAATAAACTCTCATGTTTTGAGTGTGTAAAACTAAGAATTAGCCATGCACTATGACACACCGGAAATCATTGATCTTTAGTGCACTCCCAAATGTAAAATAGTTGGCTTTTCCAAACAAAGCATTTAAAATAAAGTATTGGGCTGCAGGGTTCCCTGCAGCCCAATGGTATCAATGTGGATTTCACAAGTTTCAAAATCTCCCCTCCCCCCACCGCATCCCAAAACCAGTCCAGCTCGTCCCTGCCTCCCTAACCTGTTCTTCCTCCCACCTATCCCCTCCTCCCACCTCAAGCCGCACCTCCATCTCCTACCGACCAACCTCATCCCGCCCCCTTGACCTGTCCGTCCTCCCTGGACTGACCTATCCCCTTCCTAACTCCCTACCTACACTCACCTTTCCTGGCCCCATCCCCGCCTCTTCGACCTGTTTGTTTCTTCTCCACCTATCCTCTCCTCTATCCCTCTTCTATCCGCCTCCCACTCTCTCCCTATTTATTTCAAAACCCCCTTCCCCTCCCCCTTTTCTGATGAAGGGTCTAGGCCCGAAACGTCAGCCTCTCTGCTCCTATGATGCTGCTTGGCCTGCTGTGTTCATCCAGCCCTGCACCTTGTTGTCTCGGATTCTCCAGCATCTGCAGTTCCTACTATCTCTAAAATAAAGTATTAATGCTTTAATTCTGAAATGTTAAAAGTCAGAAGTATGTGAACTTGATAAGTCTGTAGCAATTTCTCAGGCACAAAAGAGTGTGAAGGCATGCACAGTAACTATTCCTGACGCTTGGCTGATTGGTGTCAGCAGTAACAGTGTTTGTAAAACAGTTGTTCAATATTCCAGAGCCTGATTAGAGTTGTACAGCACAAAATCAGACCCTTCATCCAACTCACCTGCACCAACCAAATATTTTAAACTGATCTAGTCCCATTTGCCAGCATTTGGCCCATATCCCTCTAAACCCTTCCTATTCATATACCCATCCAGATGCCGTTTAAATGTTGTAATTGTACCAGTCTCCACCACTTCTCTGGCAGCTCACTCCATACACGCACCACCCTCTGTGTGAAAAAGTTGCCCCTCAGGTCCCTTTTAAATCTTTTCCCTCTCACCTTAAACTGATGCCCTCTAGTTTTGAACTCCCCTATCCTGGGAAAAAGGTCCTTGGTTATTCACCCTATCCATGTCCCTCATAATTTTATAATCCTCTGTAAGGTCACCCCTCAGCATCTAACACTCCAGGGAAAATAGCCCCAGTCTATTCAGCCTCTCCCTATGGCTCAAACCCTTCAGTTCTAGCAAACATCCTTGTAAATCTTTTCTGAACCCTTTCAAGTTTCACAATATCTTTCCTATATCAGGGAGACCCAAACAGTATTCCAAAAGTGGCCTCACCAATGTCCTGTACAGTCACAACATTGCTGGAAAACACTTTTTTTTGTCAGAATATTTTGTCTTACTCATCTGGGCAATTTGTAGGAATGCCAATTCAGAGGTAAAACCAGCATTCATACTGCATGAGAGGACAGTGTTGATTGGTTGATTGACAAGTGGACTGTGATAGAGATGTTGCCATTGGAGAATGCACTAATTAATGATGACTGACAGTTAACTGAAAACAGCTTGGTTAATTTCTCAACTAGCATCAAGAAAACGGGAGTTCTTTTGACTGTTGTATTTTAAACTTCAATTTGAGTGAAAAGCTTTGATAAAATGAATCAATCTGTAAAAAACTTAAAACATTTTTTGTGAAGGCTGTTTATTAAATGTACAACTTTCCTCAGGTTAACGGAACTAATACCATGATGTACAACTCAAGCCAAATAGATAAAGTAAGTGAATTACTTCTTTCTCCCCTCTATTTATAGCATTTAATCCTACAGTTTAAAAGATGTACATGGAACCTGATAAATGACAGTGTTTCAATCCATTAGTAGCGATAAGCCCAGCAAATTTGCCGCAGCTATTCGATAAAGATATACAGTCATGGTAGTTTAGTGTTTGTGTCAGTGTAGTAGTAATCAAGAAAGTCCTGGATGAATAATCCCAAGAAAACTAATTGAAATCCCACCACACAACAGTTTGCAAATTTGAATTTAGTTTAGAAAAGTTATCAAAAGAAGCTGATATAAATAAATGATGATTCTGAAGCAGTTGGATTGTTGGAAAGCTCAATTCTATCAGTAATATCCTGTAGGGAAGGAAGCAAGCTGTTCTTAAATGGTCTGACCGATATGACTCCAGTCCTACGTCAATGTAATTGGCTGCACTCAGTAACCTGACCTACCTAATTGCTCCATCGAGCTATGACTAGTGGTTTAGGGTCTATCATCATGTTCTCAAAGCAATTGAGGATGAATAGTAAATTCTGGTTTTACCAGTGACATCATGTTCCAAGAATAAATCTTAAGTAAAAATATAAATGGATACCTGTACTGTCCAATGCAATCAAAGTCAGGTCTTTAAGTGCTGTGCTCTTGCGGTCTACCATATGTAAATGAACAGTTGCAGTTGAATGAAGCCAAGTCAATTAACAACCTGGCATTCAAATATTGGACCCTCACTGTAACCAGAACATTAAATCAGCCTGCCATCATCTTCCAATTTCAATCGTAGCTCAATCCCTGGCCATTCCCCTTTATTCCCACATTTGTGATCCAGCAACTGGCTCCATTGCCTCAGGTGTCCATTGATAATTTACACTTGCAGGGAATCAGTCTCTGCCGCAGGTTTCAGCTGTTGTATGGAAGATGCTGAACGAGCTGAACAAGGCCCCACTGGAGCTCACTGAGGTCAGGTAATAATTATAATTTGTTTCCATAAATAAATAAATTGCATGATCAATGAGAAACAAGAAAATTCCATCCTATTCGCTCCCATACCTGCTCCAGCTCATCCCATTGATAAATAATTGCAGTTAAATTGTTAACTCTCTCACTATCTGAATGATAGCTACTGGCATGTGCATAGACAAGGGAACAAAGAGAATCTGAGTAAGAACAGGGAGCTGACCCTTAGTAATGATACACCCAGAAATATTTAAGTAAAGGTGACTCCGACAAGATCTTAGCCTCAAGCCAGATCTGTGATGAAGAGTAAGACACCTAACAATTTCTGAGGTGTTCCAACAACAACAGAATAATGAGAATTTTGCTCCCCAGCCTTATCCATTGCTCGATCATTCCTGTTCAGTTCCTTTATCTTAGATCATAAATCAATAGGTGTAATCAAAAAGGATGCCTTTATCTGACTTCTAAAGCCTTATCTCAGAAAAGGTGTGCACAGAATAAGGTCAGCTCTGTGTCTGACTCCACTGATGGAATGATGTTCTTAGCTGGCAAGTGTTTAAAATACTGTCTAATTACATCTCTAAAAGCGAGGCTTAAATGGCTGCCTCTGTGAAGCACTGCAGTAAAACAGATTGTTATCCTTACTTGCATGCTATTACCGCATGGAAAAAGAAACTGATCCAAGTGACAGCTCAATTGTTTTGTTTTAAGACCTAACTTTCAGACATTACAGAATAGCAGAGACTATTGATGAAGTGTGGAAAATGAGTTTGGGGTGAGACTAATCAAAGGCACCTTTCATCATTCATCAAGCAATATGTAATGATAGAAACTTTGGAAAATGTACATGACAAATACAGTTAATGTTTCCTGTTTGAAATGTTATCCTTTCTAAAATAAATCAGATGGACTTCTCTTATGGCAGAGAATCCTTTTAATGCTTTGCACATGTCTGATAGACTTCAGGCTGCAAGGTAATCATGCTTTTTTTAATGTCAACTGAAATCTTTCCTTTTTTAGGTAACGCTTATGGGCGTTTATTTCGTGTCATCAAAGGAATTTTTGGAGAACGTTCATGTTCTGGCAGTGTTGCTCTTCCTGGCCCTCATATTACAGAGAACGTTTTTGCAAGCATCCTACTATGTGGCCATAGAAACGGGCATCAATTTACGTGGAGCCTTGCTGGTGTGTACGATATCAAGTGGCGCTACATTATGACCTGTTAACTGCTGCTCACTCGAATAATGCTTTCCTTTCGTCAAAAGACAGTTCACTTCAGCAAATACTGCAACTTGTCTTAGATAACTCTATGGGAGCTGTTCCAAGTAATGTTGTGGCAAAATCTTAAAGCAATAGACTAAATCTTTTAAGTGGGTATTTTCACAGAAGAATTACAGTGCAGAAGGAGGCCATTCAGCCTATCATATCTGTACCAGCTCTCCAAATATGCATCATGGCTTGATGCCATTCTCCTGCCTTTTCCCCATCCCCTTGTGCATTGGATGATTATTGAATAGAAACAATGCCTTCTTGTAAGCCTCAATTGACTCTGCTTCCACCGTGCTTGCAGGCAGCGCACTCCAGACTTCTGATGAAGGGTCTAGGCCTGAAACATCAGCCTTCCTGCTCCTATGATGCTGCTTGGCCTGCTGTGTTCATCCAGCTCTACACCTTGTTATCTCAGACTTGAACCTTTGTTTTGTGTCTTTTGCAAGTACTTTCAATCTGTGCCCTCTCCTTTCCAGTTCTTTTATGAGTGAATAGTGAGCTATACTGAGGGATTGTAGTGTCTTTCAAGAGCTTAAGACATTCCAGTGTTCTTAACAACCAATCAAATACTTGCCTAATGTACTCACTCATTGTAATGTTGAAAACACAGCTTCTGCACAATGAGATTCAACAACCAGCTCTGTGATAATGAAAACTAATTCACTTTTTTGTGTCATCAAAGGATAATTGTTGGTCAGGACAGCATGATCTGTTCTTTGAAATAGTTCCATGGTGTATTTTACATCTAGCTGAGAGGACAGACAGTTTAATATCTTGCAGTGACAACTCATACAATGCGACTTGAGCACCAGATATGCTTAGGATCATGAGATTTGGGATTAAATGCACACCTTTCTGGCTCAGAGGCAAAAGTGCAACTACTCAATAAAATACATGTAAAGTGTTACTACTGTTATAATGTAGGAAACCCAGCAGAGACCTACAGACAGCAATGTAATATGATCAGCTATTCTGTTTTTATAGAGCCCAACCCTGCCCTGGTATATAAATGACTAGATGCTTAGATCAATCACTGACTCTGAAGTGATCCAATGGCTGTATTAAAATAGAGGGTGAAAATAAATGCTGATGACCTTGAAAGCAATACTCGTTGTATTGAAACAAAAGCGGAGGTCTGGTGACCCTTCCTCAGAACTGACAGTAGCTAGGAAAATGTCGGTTTATACGAACCCACCTATAAACCAACATTTTCCCAGCTACCATCAGTTCTGAGGAAAGGTCATCAGACCCGAAACGTTAACTCTGATTTCTCTTCACAGATGCTGCCAGACCTGCTGAGCTTTTCCAGCAACTTCTGATTTTGTTTCTGATTTACAGCATCCGTAGTTATATTCATTCTCGTTGTATAGATCTCTTTTAACAGCAGTGCCATGCAATGTAATTACCAGCTGTTCTAATCACTGCGTTCCTGAATGTAGGAAACTCTTCTTCCCGTGGGGGAGTAAGACTTACTTAAGATTCAGCTCATTTCTCAATGTTAGCAAAGAATTGCTAATGGACAGTGGAGACTCTCCAATCAAAGACTCTCAAAGCTACCTTAAACCTAGCTGCATCTGGATATTTTTCTAAGCTGCCATCACCTGACTTTCCTTCCTCACCAATATTGCATGTCTGATTGGACTGCAGTTGGAACCCCACTAACATAAATAAACAGGGCTTTGGCCAAGCTTCTGACAAAATAACACCAACAGACCTCAAGTGACTCCCAATTCTGTCCTCTTGTGCATGGTCCATTTCTTTGATCCCTACTAAATAAAAACCGAAAGAACTGCGGATGCAGTAAATCAGGAACTAAAGCAGAAATAGAAGTTGCTGGAAAAGCTCAGCAGATCTGGCAGCATCTTTGAAGAAAAATCAGAGCTAACTTTTTGGGTCCAGTGATCCCTCCTCAGAACTGATGGTAGCTAGGAAAATGTTGGTTCATATGCAGAAGATGGCATTTGGGGGAGGTAAGGAGTAAACAGTAGGTGGGAATAGAGCTCACAGAGAGAAAAGAGCAGTTGGGTAGACAAAGGAGTTGATAACGATCTGGCTAAGAGGGTAAGTAGCTGTTAATGGGGACTGTTAGTGACTAACATTAGGTATTGTGTAATGGCAGACTATGTGATAACAAGGCCTGGTGTGTGGGGTAGGGGGCAAGGACAGGGGAGAGTTCAGGCCCTAAAATTATTGAACTCGATATTGAGTCCAGGGAGCTGCAGGGTCCCCAAGCAGAAAATGAGGTGTTGTCCTTCCAGCTTGTGCTGAGCTTTGCTGGAGCACTGCAGTAAGCCTGAGACAGAGGTATTGGCCAGGGAACAGGGTGGTGTGTTAAAGCCATTGATAAAGTCATTAAAACATTTCCTGACAAATTAATAAGTTCTACAGTGTATTTCTTTGACTGGATTTTAGATAAATTCACAATAAGTCCCACCCTAACGAACTTCATTTTAAGAAGCACTTTTCTTTTAGGTAATGTTTTCATTCATCTTCCTTTGTGGTTAACCATATATTACCTACAAATCTATGCACCTGTAAGTCTTCGGTATTTCCTTCATTCTGCCTTTAGAGCTTATGCATTTAGGCCCTTATTTACTAAACCTTTCCTCTTCTCCACCTTTTTTCCTTCCTTCTTCAAGAATGATTTTGCATTTATGATGCATGTTTCACTACTAAAGTCCTTGACAACCAATCAAGTCCTTTTGATGAATATTTAATTGCTGTAAATAAAGCAGCCAGATTTAAGACTAAGATAAGCAGATGTTTAATTAGTAAGGGCATCAAGCATTATCATTATATCTATTGAATGATGGCACAGACTCAATGGGCTGAATTGCTTACTTCTGCTCCTACGTCTTATAGCCACATTGCATGTAGAAAGGTCCCACATTGCGAGAATGACCAAAGCAGCAGATTTACTAATGTTGGCTAAGAGATATATATTGGCCAGGAGCTCATTAAAATTTATCTCATTTGACCAGGATTTTAGTCATTCTTTTTATTACCTCCTTCTTAATTGGCTTAGCAATCAAACACAGTGATTATAATTCTGCAAAAGGCCTTGGGACATTTTCCCATGTTGAAAACGTGGTATAAGTGTACTGTTATTATTATTCCTAATGGGGAGGGCTAATTGCCAAGCATCACAGTTGCCATTTTGTAGCAACCTTGTACTTACCAACAAGCAAATGTTCTTCATGATTTAATGGACCGAAAACATATTAGCCTCCAATTTTGTTGTACTTTTTAGTACAGCATTGGCACAGTACTGCTTCCCAGCAAAAGAAAATTTAGGAATTTTAACGAATGAAGGCTTTCACCAGTTTTATGCTATGCCTGGATTTCCTTGTCTTCAATATTGAGCGTACAATTCACTCCAACCCTCCATTGCTTGTTAACATTTCTGCACCCATCATGACATTTTGCATCTTACACCAGTTCTGGAAAACCAACAAATGTATATGCAATAAAGTGGTTTATTGTAACTTGATATTTATAAATTCTCCCGATTGAGACCTGCACTTTTTGATCTGCATCTTTGAATGCATTCATTGGGTCTCAGGTAAAATGACTGGTAAAACTGAAGACTTTACTACATTTCATATGATGCGCATGCATAAAGAATGAAATGACTTAAAGGAACATAGCGTAAGTTCTGCTTGTTCCTTGGACACACATTGCTCAGGTAATTTGTTTATCTCAATTTTGATGTTATGGAATATGTTGGTGTTCCTGACAGGGAGTGTTGGTGCATGTAATATCAGATACAACTGCTGTGAAAATGGATGTTTGTTTTGGTGTAACTTGCCAACTACACTGAGGAAATTCAAGGCCCAAAAATTTAAATGGATTGTTGTCAGGTTTATAATGTCCACTTTTAACATAGAATCATGGAAAATTTACAATACAGAATACATTGGGTCTGTCTATGAACCTGACAGAAAGTTTGCTTCACCCCCAGAACTTATTTTTGAAAAATTATTCTTTCATGAAATGTGGGTATCACTGGCAAGATCATAATTTGTTCTTCATTCCCTTGACCTGAGTAAGGCAATTTCAGAGTTCACACTGTCATAGATCTGGACCAAATAAGGGTGACAGATTTCCTTCCTTAGTAAAAATAATGAGTTTCTGTGAAAAATCAATAATAGTTTTATGGTCACTATTACCAAGACTAGTTTTATATCACCAATTTATTAATTGGATTCAAATTCCACCAGCTGCTATGGTAGGATTTGAACCCATGGTGTCAGAGCATTTGCCTGGCCTCACGAACCTAGTAACATTACCATTGCACTATTGTCACCCTACAGATAAGGCTCAAAATTTTGTTTCCTGTTATAGGAAGCTGATGCCTAATCTAGTAGGCCCCAAGACTTTAACAATACGTTTTTTAACATCAAGCATTGCTCCTCTGTTACACCAGGATTGATCATCTTCCCGCACCTTACATGAAACCTGTCTGTTCTCACTGAAAGTAATGTCTATTTATGCTCGGTTTGCTCAAGGCTATGATCTACAACAAGATTCTCCGTCTCTCCACCTCCAATATGTCAATGGGAGAGGTGACCTTAGGACAAATCAATAACCTTGTTGCCATCGAAACAAATCAGTTGATGTGGTTCCTATTCCTGTGTCCTAATCTGTGGGCCATGCCTGTTCAGGTAAAGTACTCGCATCAAATGTTGCTAACAGCCCCGAAATGTCAAGCAGGTAACTGGAAAGGGGCACTTTTGAATGTCGGATAGAGTCAGAAGGTTGCTTTTCTAAACAAACATAACAAGCTTGTATGCTGAGCCAGTTAGCTTGCTTAAGAGAATGTCTTGTACTTAATTGTCCTCTGTGTTGGCACAGATGTGTTGCAGACTTTATTGTTTTTGGAAACCTGTTGGGTACCTTGAGCAGTCAAGTAAATCTACATTAATTCAGTTCCTGTTATGTTTCTGCATTGGCACCTGCCTCAGACTTTACGTGATACAAGAGGATTAATCTCACAGAACAATATTGCATCTTTATTTGGGCTAATATGGCACTGAGGCTTTTGGAAGTTGTGGAGCCAAGGATCTGTAACTGGACATTTTACTCAGTGCTTAAAACTGAAGGAAATCAAAGACTGAAAAACGTCCTTTTGGACAGCAAGCCAATCCCTTCAACAGGCCCAGACATGCTTGTGTTGAATTGCCTGAAAGATGGTCCTGCTTCATTGTTTCAAAATCTCCAGAGTTAGTCAACCAGTTCTTCATTAGTTATCCCTACATCTTCACTGTTTGAACCTGACAGAATATAGTTTGGGAATAAAAACCCCAGATATTGTTAGGGAAACTCTCTTGCACAGAGAAACAGAGTTAACGTTTTGAGTCCAGTGACCCCTCTTCAGAATGTTCTGAAGGCAGCAAAGAAGGATTTGAAATGTTAACTCTACCTTGTGCCCATAGATGTTGCCTGACCTGATTTCTGTTTTTGTTTCACATCTGCGGTTCTTTGCTTTGTATTTTAGTTTAAACTACAACTAGACATGCAGTGCTGTAGGAGTTCAATACACCACCTGTTAATAGGCATTGTGCACTGTATTCCACCTTCACATTGAGTAGAATCCCTACAGTGTGGAAGCAGGCCATTCAGCCCATTGAGTTCACACTGACCCTCCAAAGAGCACCCTACCCAGATCCAACCCATCCCTATAATACACATTTCCCCTGGCTAATCCACATTGCCTAGACACTTTGGGTAATTTAGCATGGCCAATCCACCTAACCTGCACATCTTCGGACTGTGGGAAGAAAACCACGGTGAGCACGCAATCTCCCCGCAGATTGTATCCCAAGGGTGGAATCAAACCTAGGTCCCTGGTGCTGTGAGGCAGCAGTGCTGCCCCTTACCACGTACTTCACCACAATGATGCAATGAAATATCATGGACTTTGACAGACAGGAAAAAGAACAGGAGTCTCTGGGAGTCATTTTCAACATAATCGTTTGGTGCTTAATGGCCACAGTAGATTGGCCACCCTTTAAACAACCTAATCAATGTACAAATGGAGTACCGTCAGATGCTAACTGCTTACTAACTTCGTGCTTGTTTGGAAAGCAGTCCCTGTTAAGCTGCATATCAGATTGTGCAGATTAATCCTGAATATCAATATTTAAAGAACACCCTCTAACTCTGCGCAGTCATCTGGAGATTGTAGGAGGTCGTTTGGACAGGAAAATCGAGTTGTTTCTATAACCAGTCATTGCACAACCAAATGTATACACTTTGCTCTCCTTTCTAATTGAATGCATACTGTGGTCTTGAAAAGGACTATGTATTATCCATTGTGCCTTGCACAGGGGGCTAAATAACAAAGCTGGAGATGAACAGTAGTCTGTGGCCTTTTACACCATGCTAATAACTGCAGTGCATTCCTGTAAGATAGATATGGGAATCAAGATTGCAGCAGAGACAATGGCCTAAATCTTCTGATCTGGATCAGATTCCTTATTTCCACCCTGGTCAGATAATGAGCTACGTACTTAATTTCTTACAAGCTTTCGGGAACATCTGTCCTAACTCATCCTTTGTGGCAAACAACACATGAGGAGTAATGGAGAAGGGTTAGAATGGTAGGTGGGTGAAGGAGGTTAGGGTGTGGGCATCAAAGGGTCGGTTGTGTGGGATGGGCGGGTGGTGTGAGTTGATGAGTGGGGAGGACAGATGTTAGCAGGGATTGGTCAATTGTCAGGTGGAGGGAGTTAAATATTGGTGGGAAATGCAAATGTCATGAGTATTCGGAAGGTAAGAAGGATGTGGAATTCAGTGTGAGTGATTGATGGGTCAGTAGTTTAGTTATCCAGGAGTTAGGGCAGGTTTTAATCATTTAACTTTTTCTGGGTACTTACGCAGGTAGCACTTGTTGGAACACTCTAAAGTCTCCAACTCTAACACCAACTCCGATTTGCCGATGTTTTCAGAGGGTGCTAGGTGTCAGGTTGTTGACCACCAGAAATTTAAACTTCTCAGGCAGCTCCCTTTATAGTCAGTCCATTGGGATTCTAAGGGATCCCAACACACAACTTTCAAGGATAGTAGGAACTGCAGATGCTGGAGAATCTGAGATAACAACGTGTAGAGCTGGATAAACACAGCAGGCCAAGCAGCATCAGAGGAGCAGGAAGGCTGACG